CGCCTCCTATCTCCGTATGTTGATTGAGCCGCCAATTCTTTGACGCCCCACACGGCCCGCCCTGAGGTCGCATAATGTTATGTAATCATATTGTGGGTGTGCTGCTTGTGTTTGGCTGCTCAGCCTTGCAAGCGCGTGTGCAATTTCCATTGTCGCGACTCTTTGTCTCCTCAGCTTGAGTCCACCTTCAAAGAGTATCCGCCCTCCCTGCGCGCGTTGGCTCCGGGTCGACCATCTCGACCGGCTCATTCGCGTACCGTAACCGATCGACCGCCCTCTACCTGCAGGGCAGGGTAAAATGAATGGGCAGGAGGCACCGGGACTGAGAGGTGGCCAGTCGTGGTAGATACACTGCCTACCATACTTAGCCTTACAAATACAGGTATGTGCCTACTATCTACCTATGGGCTACACATCCTTCCAGCTCTGCCAACCTCGCAAGCCACCTGCCCCTTAAGCACCTACTTATATCTATCTTTGAACGCCCCTCCTTAGTACTTCTCCATCTCCCCGACAGCGCCCAAACCACACGACTTCCCGTCGCCAGTTACTTTCCGGGTGCTCATCAGCGGCGCCTACCTACACCCTGCGTGACCTCCACTACTTTCTTCCTATCCGACTCGCCTACCTAGCCGTGCCTACCTAGCAAGGTAGGTAGGTGGGAGGTGCCCCTCCTTGGCCATGTCAAACCCAACGGCCAAGGTCCCCTCGGCGGCAGCGACGTACACACCAGCAACGCTCGACCCAGATCTGAGATCGCAGATCAACACGCTGCTGTTGAAAGACGATCATGTAACAAAGTGAGCAAGCACGCACCCGTTATCTGCACAATCCACTCCCAACCCACCCAGTCGTCTCCCATCGCTTGTGTTCTCACGCGCTGCCCCATCATGTCAGGATCCAAGAGACGATGCTGCACTCGCTGCACTCACACCCGGCAAACTGGCCCACGGCGGTCCAGTCACACGCCCTGTCTCTACTCCGGTCTGGGGATGTCACCACCTTCCCTGCCCTCCTCCGCCAAGTCCTTGACGATGTCAGGCAGAGCACTCAGGCTGCCTCCTTGTCGAGCGCGCCCGCCAAGGCCACAAATGGCGCCGACGTCAACGGCAAAAAGGCCAACGGCGATGTTTCTGGACGTCTGCAGGGTCTCGCCATCCCCCAAGCCGTAGTTGACGATGCCCTCAAGGTCGCTAGGGAAAGTCTCGAGGCTGTCTGTGAGGTTGAGGAGAACGGCACATCGTGATTTGACCTCGGGCGCGCTGGACCACGACTTTCCTAGCGGGGTGGAACTGCTGCCGAGGTTGGCGATAATCCCTACGCTCCGGTTATGGACTGGTATGCTTTGAAAGTGTAATTCACCCCGAGGCATCGGTTTATCCTGGCAACAATGCGCAGGAGCAATCACGGTCTAGGTGTGTAAACTACAAAGAGCGAGGAAACGGAAGAAGATGGTATCAAGTACTGCTCCCGCCTTGGGTCTTTCCTACTTCTTCATCGCAAGAGACAAGGAGCCATATATGTCAAACGCTGGAGGGAAAGAGAAATAGAAGGGAACCCTTGCACCGCATGAGAGCAGCAAACCCCACAGCCGAGGCGAACCAACCCATTTAGACTACCTATCTATTTCACCTAACGCAATGCATTCACCAGACCGTCTTATTGCACCAGAAAACGACTAAGTGACCGTCGTTAGCCTTGCGAAAATAGTTCCTCGCTGCCTGTGCCTCTTGACAAAGCCATGGTGTCGGAAAGACAGGACAGGCTTGCCACCAGCTTTGCCAGCCACTCACCACCAATGCAAGACGCAAGCGGAAAAAATAGCAAAAATAAACCAGCGAACCCCCAACGAGTTTCCACGTGAAGGCTTCCGGATTATATAAAACCAAACAGCTGTTCCCCAATGTGTAGGCGCCTACGCAGGTGCCTGCCACTGGAGCGGACATCTGACCGCTGCTGTTCAGGCCACGTCAGCCGGGTTTTAGAAAGACCTAGAAATACAGTGCCCACGGAAATATGGGCCACCAAGACCACGCTCCATGGCCTTGCGTATTTAGTCGTAGAGACCGTCGTCGTTTCCGCCGTCGTTGAATGTCTCGCCAGAACCGCCTGTGGCTGCAGTGTTGCCGGCACCTTCACCGTCGGGAAACTTGAAGAATGCTCCCGGGCCGGCGTTCTTCATCTGCTGGGCGAACGCCTCGTAGCGGCGAATCTCGACATCACTGACCGACTTGCGTGCTGTCTGCATGGCTTCCTCGAAGTGCCGCTTGGTCAACTCAGGGACAGGGTCCTCGGCGTCCTCGTCCATGGCAACATCCTCGCCCGCAGCTTCAAGGGCCTTGGTGCGTGCGATGTCGGCCGTGATCGCCTCCTTGATGGCGAGCTTGACGGCACGCTGGGTGATGAAGCCAAGGTCAGCACCCGAGAAGCCGTGCGTCTTGGAGGCGATGAACTGCAGGTTCACATCGCCAGCCACGGGCGTCTTGCGGAGCTGGGCCTTGAGGATGCTCAAGCGGCCAAGCTCATCCGGCAAAGGCACGTAGATCAGCGAGTCGAGACGTCCAGGACGGCACAGCGCGGGATCCAGCTGCTCGGGCCTGTTGGTAGCGCCGATGACGAAAACGTTCTTCTTCGACGTCATTCCGTCCATCTCTGCAGATAAATTCGAGTTAGCCATTTCGTTCCAAGTTGTTAGCATGGGACCCCGTGCATAAACTTGCCTGTGAGTAGCTGATTGACAACACGGTCAGAGGCGCCGCCGGCGTCACCAACCGATCCTCCTCGGGCTTTGGCGATCGAGTCGAGCTCGTCGAGGAAGACGATGCAAGGAGCGGCCGCCCGAGCCTTGTCGAAGATATCGCGGATGTTGCTCTCCGACTCTCCAAACCACATGCTCAGAAGCTCAGGACCCTTCACTGAAATGAAGTTGGCGGCGCACTCGTTGGCAACAGCCTTGGCAAGCATAGTCTTTCCGGTACCGGGAGGTCCGTAGAAGAGAACGCCGCGAGAAGGCGAAAGGCCGAACTTGAGGAACTTCTCGGGGTGGTCGACTGGGTACTGAACCTGTTCCCTCAGCTCCTGCTTGACCTCGTCCAGACCACCAATGTCCTCCCAGCGCACGTTGGGAACCTCGACAACAGCCACCTCGCGCAGCGCCGAGGGGTTGGAAACGCCGAGGGCGAACCTGAAGTTCTCCATGGTGACTCCCAGGGAGTCGAGAACCTCGGCGTCAATGGTATCCTCGTCCAGGTCGATGAGATCCATCTTCTCGCGGATCTGCTGCATGGCGGCCTCAGAACAGAGGGCCGCCACGTCGGAGCCAACGTAACCGTGGGTCTCGGCAGCGATCTGCTCTAGATCGACATCATCGCCAAGCTTCATGTTCTTGGTGTGGATCTGAAGGATCTCAAGACGACCCGTCGGGTCCGGAATTCCGATATCAACCTCGCGGTCGAAGCGGCCGAAACGGCGCAGAGCCGGATCGATCGAGTTAGGCCGGTTGGTCGCCGCCATGACGACGACATTAGAGCGAGCCTTCATACCATCCATGAGGGTCAGCAGCTGCGACACGACGCGGCGCTCCACCTCGCCGTTTGTCTTGTCACGCTTGGGGGCGATGGAATCAATCTCGTCGATGAAGATGATGGCCGGCGAGTTCTTCTCGGCCTCCTCAAAAGCCTTGCGGAGGTTCGACTCAGATTCACCCGCCATCTTGGACATGATCTCGGGTCCGTTGATGAGGAAGAAAAAGGCGCCCGTCTCGTTGGCCACAGCGCGGGCCATAAGCGTCTTTCCGGTACCGGGCGGCCCGAAGAGGAGCACACCCCTTGGTGGCTTGATACCAATGGACTTGAAGAGCTGGGGATGGCGTAGGGGAAGCTCGACCATCTCACGGATCTGGGCCATTTGCTTCCGGCAACCACCGATATCGTCATATCCCACCTCGTTGAGGTTGTTCTCCTCCTCGTCGCGCTGGATGGGTTCTCCCTCGCAGTGGATCACGGTATCCTGGGCGACAATTCCGTACTCTGGAGGATCAACCTCGACGACCTTGAACTCGACCTGACGCATGCCGCCGCGAACGAGGAAGATGTCGCCTTGGCGGACAGGACGGTAGGCTTCCCGGAAGTACGGGGCGAGGAAGACATCAAACAACGAGCCAGTCAAGCCCTCGACGGTGTCCTCGATTGGGAGAACGGCAATGCGTTTGGCCTGGAGGGCTTCCGGTTAGTACGAGATGTTGGTGAGAGTGGCCGCAGTTGTCATGCAGACCAAGCTGAGTACTGGGGATAACGGCCTTCCACTGACATATTTGATATCGGGGCAAGGATGAATGGTGATGACGTCGCCATGCTTGACCCGCAGGTTGTGGCGGACAACACGGTTCAGGCGAGCGCTTCCATCGTCGAGCTCGTCGTCGGCCAGGACGATCAGAACTGTGTCCTTTCTCTTCTTGCCTCGGACGAGGACGGTATCTCCACGGAAGAGCTGGAGGGTCTCCATGGTGTTGTTGGAGAGAGCAATGATTGAGTTGTCATCATTTGTCGCATCAGCAACCCTGAGTTGGCGGCAGTGTCAGCTTGGAGATCCTTGGGAGCGGCGAATAGCGGGCGGCACCTCGGCAGGCCAGGGTTTTCCTACATCAGCTGGTTGGGCTTCTTCTTCTTCTTCAGAATGGCCGTGGCAGTGTCGGATTCCTGGTGCGGAGGGGCGTCAGCAGCCGCAATATGCGCGTGTGAATCTTGACTATTTCCCAGCGCCAGCAGAAGTGTATGCTAGCAGCATGGCAGACAACCGAGCCGGGGCAAGAACATACCTCTTTTTGCTCCGCACCCGAAGGATCCCTGTGCATCGTGGGTTAGCTTGCGTTACTCGCCGACACTTTCGGATGGCGGGGTCGAAACGCACATCAGGTTGACCTTCTTCTTGGGCGGGTCCTGGGATGCGTCGGCGGACATCTTGACGACGGGGAGCTTCTGAAAAGAAGCAATCTGCTGCTGATAGTCGGCAGTGGTTAGACTGGAGAACAAGATGCGGGAGCGCTCGGTAGCGTTGTCGTGGGATGGGGAAACCAGGTCGGGAGGCAAGTAGGTAGATAACCAAGGGAGGACAAGTGGGTGCGTACTGGGCTTGAATATCTCCTGGTTGTCGACGAAGGAGAGCGAATCCAGTCTTGGGCCGTGGTGATGTTTTGAGGTTGGGTTTGGGTGAGGGTTGGTTGAGGTAGCTGGAGGTTTTGAGGAAGCCCGTCCTTCGGAAGGCTGGATGGATCTGGGAGTGTAGACGTGCGCAGGCTGGCCGGGTTTCAAAGCATGGGTCCGCTAGGCGGCCACTGGATGACGATTTCAGGCGGCAAGCAAGAGGTGGGGTCCCAGCACAGCTGTCTACGCCACGGAGCGGGCTGGATTTGAGATTTGAGAGATCTTTCAGCCACGCTGTGGCGAAACGTGTTTAAGAACCTTCCAACACCTTCCACCAGGAGCGCTCAAACACACGGATAACGAGGATAGTAATTATGAGATGTGTTCTTATCCCAAGCCCGACCGCCAAAGTATACGATTGTTTCTGCCTCCCATGTTTCTATCTCGTTACACACCTACGAGCATTTCCAGTGCCTGTCTTTGGTAGCCACTCGCCTGTTACGTCAGGCACCTTGGATCTCTTGTATGCTCCATGATGAGAATTCGAGTCTGTTTGCCGAATTAAGTGTGCTGGAGAACCAGCCTTTCCAATGGCATTGGTTGATGTTGCATGACAGATGGCCGTAGAAAACGCACTCGTATCTACTTAGTACCTAGGCAGGTAATCTTGGAAATCACATTGCGTTGGATACAGCAACCCGTCATTGATATGCTGTTCACGGGGCTGCATAGGTATATCCTCGTCGTTTGAAATGAAGAAAGAAAAGAAAGGGATGGCCCAGGAAAAGAGTAACAATAAAGGATAAAAAATAAAAAATAAAATATAAAGACTACATTTCCCTGTTTAGGCTCCCAAAATGCGCCCTTGAAAACGATAAGATAGAGGATTGTGTTGGGCGGGGATGCGTCTCGCCTCTTCTATCTCCGTGGACACATTGCCGCGTTTGTGTTTGTAATTGGATATTGGATTCGTTATGATCCCTTTGGCCGGTGTGTGCTTTCGTGGCCGTGAAGTCGACACACACCGGGGCGCCCACAACACCCAGGTGCTGCCGAGGCTGGGAAGTTCGGACGTAAGATCCAGATAATAAACAGCCTAATGGGATGGGATACAACCGGAACGCGACGTTATCATTACTGCAAAACACAGGTACTTGGCATATAAGTCGCAGGCAGTGGTGCCGCCCAACCCATGTGCCAGGAGCTTCCACATTTGCTCTGCGTTGAGTGATGGCGCGAGGGTGAAGGGGGAAAAAAATGAATGAAAGCGAGAAGATATAGTTCTTGACCCAGGCCCAATACGGCAATGGCCTGCAAGAGTTTTAACCTTTGAAATCCCAAGAGGGTTGCAGATGTCTTCGCACTGCCGCCGGTTCAGGCGGTGAGGGGCGGATGTCAAGCCGTTTGGTTGACCCATGTATTCGAGCGGCTGGTCGACGTGTCCCCACCTCTCCTCGCGCCCATTCTGCTTGGTTTTGTTTGACTGTGGAGTGGTGCGACACAGACGGCTGCTGTCTCCCGCGGGGAGAAGGGAGGACGAGGGGAAAATAATAAGAGGAATGTTAATGATGTTGGTAAGAGGGCGAGAAAGAAAAAAGAGAAAAAACCTTCACCGCATCTCGGAACTACCGTCTCGTTTTCGGATGGCAGCGCACGACACCCCAGTCTGTCACGAATAAGGAAGGACGCATAGAAGAAGATGGGTTCTGTTTGCAGGGGGGCGCTGTGCGCATCCATCTCCGGTTCCCTTGCATCCCACGCGCTCCTCGGACATCCTACTAACTACTCACACCGGTATGGGGCCTTGCTGCCATCACGCTAGGAGAGTTGGGGCATGGTTGGTTGGCTTGGCCGCTTGGACCTGCAAAATATATCATTCTCTCCGCACCCGTTTGTCGCCTCGTTTTGGGCCACCCGTTGGACGTGTGCCCCTCGCCGGGTTGCAAGCAACAGGCTGATGTGATGATGTTGAACTACGTACGCACGCAGCGCTATGCTTGTACCCCCTGCCCGGCCAGTCCGCTTTCCTCGAGATTTGGGGCAGAAGTAACCAAGCCGCGCACAACCAGGACGGCTGGAGTATATGTGCCGCCCATCAGAGTCATGGCCTTCAAGGATGGCAGCCCTTTGCGTTCTAGAACACAACCCAACCCGCTCGAGGACGAATACAGTCGCCTATATCTATCTGTCTGTCTATCTATGGATGTACGTGCCCGAGAGCAAAGCACCTACATACACGTATGTGGTGGTTTGTATGGGGCAACGAGACAACGCGTCCAGAGCCCACCTCTTTTGCCGCCGACCCGTCGCAGCCGGTCTAGACCATGTTCGGGCTGATTTCTGTGGCTATATGGAGAAACATCTATACATGAGAAGATTGTGCGCAGTATCGTAGATACTGGCCGTCCAGGTACCCAGCGCGCAGGCGGCTTGCAAAGTACTGTATCGCGCTCGCCATTTATTATGAGCCACGTGTTGTCCCTGTCTTGACGCTGCTGTTGTCTAGCCCAGTCTAGTCCATGGTTGCGGGAGGGCGCGGCGGGCGGCTATATCTACAGGCATATGATATATAAGGGCAGATTCATGCTGCCGGGGAGGGAGAGAGTTGCACACCCAGGATGCACACCCAGGAGCCGAGAGACAGCTGCCTCGACTTGCAACACATGCGGCGGTGGCGTCGGCCCTTTTGGTCACTGGTTGACTGGCTTCCCGTCCACTGAGGCAACCAAGAGCAAGCAGGTTGGCGGGCGGTAGGTGGGTACATGTGCACTGCATCGCCACGGGCCTGGGCTGCCTGTCATCTCCATACATGTATGTATTGTACCTGCTTGGGCACGGGCACACGGGCTACCACCTTCGGGCGGCAGCCAGCCGGCAGTCTGACGGTGGCTGCTCGTCGCTTCCCCCCCACCTGGGGGCGTGTTGGGCGGCGCTTGACTCGACGTCGAGCCAGGGTTGGGTTCGCCACTTTGTGTCTGGCGCTGAACTGGACCGCCCACACCGCCTACAAGTACGCGGGTTTACCACCGCTCCCCGCCTCGCTGCCCAGGTACCTGCCCAGCCATGCACCGGTCCCACTAGCAGGTGTCAGGTACAGATACTAAGCTCGTCACCTGGCCAAACCCCACCACCGCTACGACTACGCTGCATCCTGCCTACCTAACCTACAGCACAAATCAATCCAGCCCAGCGTACCCAGCACTCCCAGCTGCATCCCGCCTGTGCACGCTCCGAAAAGCCTAGACTCGGGATTCTTGATTCTTTTTTGCGTCCTCTTTTCCCGCTGCTCCATTACCGTATCGACGCTGCACTGCCAGCCGCAGAGTCCACACCCGCTCTGCGCCAAGTCTGCCGCCGCTGGCTAGGGGGGGTGCACGCCTCGCCTCCGACTGGGTAGGTGTGCCTCCCATGGTGGTGCCAGTGTGGTAGTTGGGGCGTTGCGTCTGCTCTGTCGGGTCCTTGTGCTTTTCTATCTCGTCTTGCCTGGCTTGTGCTGGTTCTTTTTTTTTCTTTTTCTCGCTCTCTTTCTTTTTCTTTTTTTTTGTCCAATTTTTCTTCCCACCCCTATCGCTATTGTTATTTTCCCTCTCTCCCCCCCAGCCGGCGGCCCCTGTTTCCCTTCCCTGCCCGCTGGCTTTGGCGCCCTGGCCAGTCACCCCATCCATCCGCCGCTCTGGACTGGTCAAGTACCCGCCGTCCTACCGCTCGATCGATATCCGGACTATCTTGGCTCGACCCAGCCCGCCTTGTGCCGTGCCGTGCTGCGCTGTGCTGCTGCTCGTCAACCCATCTTCCTCCACGGTTCCGTACACCGAAGACGCCCTCTCCACTCCCCACACTCTCTTCCGCCTTCTCACCTCATCCAGCCCTGGTCTCACCTTGCCGCCGCCTTGTTGTTGCCGGCCGCCCCAACCCGCCTGACCTGCCTCCTGCCTACTCCACTACCTACTCGGGACTATCTTGGGTTGTGCGCAGCAGCGCCGCAGGTCTACCCGGTCAGCCAGCACCAACGTCCCAACCTACCTTACCCAGGTCGCAGCCTCTCTCCGCACGCCCGTCTGCGCCTGCCTCTGTCCACACGTCCAATATCGCTGTGCCGTAAAGAAACACGCCTAACAGCCCCAAATACGGTGGGCCCCTCTTCGTTGGACCCCAGCAGCTTTCACCTCACACGCCGCCTTTGGGTTGCGCAAGAACTGCGCAAAATCGCCACGCCTAGAGAACCAAGAGTCGGGGAGAGATGATCTCGAGCGGCTGATCAAGAGCCTGCGTCTCCTCCCCCTTCCCTCCTCTCGCCCACGCTCTCCCTTTCTATCTCTCCCCTCTCTCTTTTTCCCTCTTTTCGTCGTGCTTGCCACTCTTGCCATGTATGTAACCCAAACCGCGCCCCTCTCTCGGGCCAGGCTCGCGGCTTGCTGGATCCGCTCGCTCACATCTTCCTCGTGCCCTCCTTGCCCGCACGCCCAGAGCCCGCCATGGGGGGTCTCTCGAGTCCCAGATCCGGGACTCCCTCGACGGCCGAGGATGTCCTTTCTTGGGCCCAGATCCTCTCACCATGCATCCTGCTTTTCTGCTTCATGCTGGCCATCGCTCTCCATGGCGTTTTGGCCAGCAGGAAGACCGAGGACTTGATAGCTCCGGCCGCTAGGGGACCCGGCGGCCGCCCACTGCCCGTAACCAAGACGCGGCCCGACGCGGTTGTAATCGAGCTCACAGAGGCCGCATCTTTTGGCCGAGGCTCCCGTCGTGTATTCCAGCTTGCAACCGCCGTCATCGTGCTCGCCTTCGTCGGGAATGCCGTCAATCTCGCTCTGCAGGTGGCTTACGACCCTGATCAAGCCCGGTCCTATTCTCTGGCTCCCCCGGACAAATTAGAAGAACGCCCGTGGTGGTGTCGTGAAGAAGCCTTTGTACGTTGAAATTCCCCCGCCACCAGCCTCTCCTTCCACTCCCCCGGCTCCTCTCCCTGCATTGCATCCTGCACCCTATCCACACCCTCCTACCCCTCGCTGTACAGTGATCTTCAGGTTAGTCAAAATAGTGCTCGAGGGGAAGGCGTTGGGGATGCAGGCGCGCAAGATGTGCGCCATATGCAACGTGTGTTCATTGTCTTCCTCCGTCCCCGGCGAGGCCACATCTCGATCTCGCTCGAACCCAGTTTGGCATCGTTTCTTACTCGTCGCCGGCCGGCCTGCTTGCCTGCTTTGTCTAGGTATACATTGTTGGCTGTGGCTCATTCTACACCTATCTGCTTCTCACGCTCTTCGACTGGAGCGACAGCCCCAATACGGTCCATTTCATGGTCTGGTGCACGAGCCTGATCACCGAGAGCACCGTTCTCGGCTCGCTCCTCGTCCGGATCTTGCAGTCTTCTTACGCAGCGGCCGACGAACCTTGTATGCCAGGAGGGTATGATATCGCCGACCTTGCCATCGGCGCCCTCCGTCTTGCCGTGGTCTTGGGCATCGTCATCTTGTATATCGGCCTCGCTGGCCGCCGCACTTTCTGGGCTGGAGAGAAGAAGGCACATGACGCTGGTCTGAATGGCCTCGACGAGATGGAAAGACAGGGCCGTGGGCAGGTCGACCACGGCAGTGATACGTCTGATGAAACCTCGCCTCTCCTCAGTCGACGACACGCGGGCTTGAACGGATACGTCAACCCCGCCACAGGCGGCCGCGATATGAGAAAGAATCAGAATGGGTCGGCCGGCCCCAACCAGTCTCCTGTCAACGGCACCGGCGGCAACACTCATGGCGAAGCTGACGCCGCCTTCTACCGACCCAACAAGCTGCCGCACAAGACATGGTGGGAGTACCTGCGGGGGTACTCGCTGTTCTTCCCGTACCTGTGGCCGCGCGACTCGCTCAGGTTGCAGGCGGTCGTGGTCTTTTGTTTTATCATCGCCGTCCTCCAGCGCTACGTTATCATGATGGTCCCCATACAGACGGGCTACCTGGTCGACGATCTCGATGCCGCCGTGTCGAGGATTGAGCCCGGGTCTGGGCATGGCATGCCGTGGGGGAGCCTCGGCCGGCTGATCCTGTTCAAGATACTCTCCGGTCCCTCTGGATTACTGGGCTCCGTCCGCGCCATCCTCTGGATCCCCGTCTCGCAGTACTGCTTCCGTGCGCTATCCTCGGCGGCTTTCGAGCACGTACACTCGCTGTCGCTTGATTTCCATCTCTCCAAGAGGACCGGCGAGGTTCTGTCGGCGCTCAACAAGGGCGCCTCGATCAACGCGTTCCTGGAGCAGGTGACCTTTCAGGTGTTGCCTATGCTGATTGATCCCCTCATCTCTATCATAGTTCTTGCCAAGAAGTTCAACAGCGTGTACGCCGTGTGCGTCTCCATCATGACCTTTACATACCTCTTCCTCACCATCCGCATGGCCGCAACCCGCGCCGATCAGCGCAGGGACATGGTCAACGCCAACAGGGAGGAGGAGGCGGTAAAGAACGACTCAATCGTCAGCTACGAGACGGTCAAGTACTTCAACGCCGAGGACTTTGAGTTCAACCGTTACCGCCACACCATCAACACCTTCCAAGCAGCCGAGGCCAGCGTCACGCGGGGCGCCAACAATATGAACATCTGCCAGAATCTGGTATTCATGGCCGGCATGCTACTGTTGCTGGTGGTGGGGGCGTACGATGTCGCTCTCGGCAACCGGACTATCGGCGAGTTCTCGACGCTGTTGGCCATCCTCGCGCAGCTGCAAGGCCCGCTCAACTTCTTCGGCACGTTCTACAAGACGGTGCAGCAGGCCATGATATCGGGCGAGCGGCTGCTCGAGCTGTTCAAGGTGGCGCCGACGGTGGTGGATCGCCGCGGCGTGCCAGACCTCCCACCTTGCAAGGGTCACATCCGGTGGAACAAGGTCAGGTTCTGGTACGACGGGCCGCGTCCGGCTCTGCGGGACCTCTCGTTCGAGTGCCGCCCCGGCACGACGACGGCCTTTGTCGGCGAGTCCGGCGGCGGCAAGTCCACCGTGTTCCGGCTCATGTTCCGCTATTACAACTGTCACGAGGGCAGCATCGAGGTCGACGGCCACAACGTCAAGGACGTGACCATTGACTCTGTCAGGCGAGCCATCGGCGTGGTACCGCAGGACACCATCATGTTCAACGAGTCCATCATGTACAACCTCCGGTACGCGAACCAAAAGGCCACCGACGAGGAGGTGTACGAGGCCTGCCGGTCCGCCAGCATCCACGACCGCATCATGAGCTTCCCCGAAGGCTACAACACCAGGGTCGGGGAGCGCGGGCTACGTCTCAGTGGGGGTGAGAAGCAGCGCATGGCCATCGCTCGGCTTATCCTCAAGCGCCCCCGCATCATCATGTTGGACGAGGCCACATCGGCACTCGACAGCGAAACTGAGCAGCAGATACAGTCCAAGCTCATCAAGGGCAACAACCTTGGCCAAAACCGTACCCTCTTGATTATAGCGTAAGTTTCGTCCAGGCACGTAGAAAGGCAATTTTGCCATGGCTAACAGGCGACGGGTTCCCACGCCTCACAGCCATCGCCTTTCCACCATAACGCATGCGGACCAGATCATCGTTCTGCATGCCGGCTCCATCATCGAGAAGGGCAGCCACGCGGAGTTGCTTCGGCTGGGCGGCAAGTACGCCAGCATGTGGGAGAAGCAGAGCAAAGCCGAAGAGGCCGCGGTCAAGGCCCGAGACGCCACCGCCAGGGCCAACAAGCTCCTGCGGCGCGCCCAGATTGGCGTCAAGACCGACGTCAACGACGACAGCGACGGCTACAACAACAGCGCGTGCTCCTCGACCGTCCTGACGGGCCCCAAAGCCGCCTCGGCTGCGTCTGAAGACTCTTCGACGTCAGATGACGACTTGACTAATAATGATAATAATAAGACAAAATAGACGGAGTTTAGCCTGATGGGGGTATTTTTTTTCCTTGTCTTTTTCATTTCCTCTTTTTTTTCCGTCTCTCCTCTCATCTCATGTCACCCACCCCATACCTCGTCTCTGGTTTTGAACCCAATTTTTGCGTTTCTTTTTCAACATCGGCCTTATTTCGTCACTTCTCTCCCCATGTTGGAGAGGTTTGTTATGTCTAGATTTACCGCGAACGCTGCGGCACGACGGGGGCGCCGTTGCTATGGAGCGCGGCAGGCGCTTATGAGCCACGAAGAAAAAAAACTCACAATTTACGCCCGAAGTGTGGTATTACACGGGGCTGGCGCTGGATTTGATTAAAAAGGAATCTACAGGTGGCGGCGGCTAGGCCCTTTTCGAGACAAGGTCGAGATGACATGCGGAGATGCCAGCCAGCGGGGGGGGGATGTTGAGTGGTGGATAGCTGGAGGTCCATTCGTGGGCCACTGCAATGAAATGTAGAGATTTGCTCTCTCAACACTTCCCAGCGCAGCACGGTGAGCAAAGCGCGATTTTTGTACACGTGGAGAGGGAAGGCCCGGTGACCGACTCGGTGCAAGGCGGTTCCGGCGGTCAGGGGCTGCGTGAGGATATGCAGAGAGCCGTGCAGGACCATTCCCCAAGCGCTATTGATGGCGGTGTGCCACCCTGTCAGGGCCAAACCTGCCGGTCCACTCGGGATGCCAAGTCACAAAAGGGCGCTGAGGGCAAGGAGCAAGAGGCAGAAAATCAAAGCGCATGCCTCGAATTAATTAAAATTTGCTATGTGGTGCTTGGCTAGCCAAGGCGGAATGCTCTTTCTGTACATAAGCATGAACAAGGCCTCATGACAATCGCCAATAGTGCTATTAAAGTCGGGTCGCGGCGGAAAGGGCGAAGGGAACAAGAAAAAGCAATCATCGATTCGACATGCTGTCTCGTCGCTGGGTTCTATCCGACTATTCATGACTGAGCTGCCCCAAATGTAGACCGACGCACGTCAACACGGAGCTGCGTGAGCATGTGGACGGCACGGCCCTTGCCTATTTTGGCGGGCGCATCGCGCCGTGCGCGTATCATGGAGCGTGGTCGGGGGCCGCGAATCTGAGACGTGAGGCGCAGTGCAAAGTCGACCGATGGCACCAAGGCAAGGCCGGCGCCGGGAGGGCTAACTTTGCGCGTGACATGTTTCGGGAGCAAGCCGAGCGATGGCGAAGCGGGAAAACCGGAGCGAGGCAGTGACTTTCTCCTGCCAGGTCCAGCGCCACGGGGCCGTCGCCGCCCACCCAGCTCTCGAAGCAGTCTCACGGGACGCGGCGAGGGGGCCGACCGGCGGCAGCCTCAGGGCGCGCCGCAAGAGAGGCAGCTTACTTCCTCCTCTTGGCGGCAGCACCATTAGGTGTCGACCCGGAGGTCGAGGCTGCGGTCGGTGCGTCCTCGGCCTCGGTCTCGTCGGGATCGGAGCGATCATCCCTCACATTGTCGCTAAACATGAAGCGGTAGCCGATGCGGACGATGAAGAACAGCCAGAAGAGGTTCAGCGCCTGGAGAGAGGAGAGCAGGGTCAGGGAGATAGCCTGGGAGAGTGAGCACTTGTACTGCTCCGTCTCCCAGTTGAGCTCGTACGGGCCAATGGTTTTGAACTCTGTGAGCAGGCTCCAGATGATGCGCAGGTTGATGTAGTGGCGCAGGTAGATCCACACACCCATGAAGGTGACAAAGTAGGGTCCCATCAGGACATGATCGATATAGTTGAGCAGTTTTGCTGTCTGCAGCGAACAAATGAGGGTGTATTAGCTCGGTTGTGCAAGAGTTGCGTACCCAAGTGCTGACTGAGGCATGTAACCATGCAATATATGAGCGAGGCGGAGAGACAGGGATCAAGGGCTCTTACAGCAAGGAAAAAGTCGCTAATATCGTGGGTGATGTAGACGGCTAGGCCCATGTAGGTAAAATGGAACCGGTAGCTCAAGCCGATCAGGGAGAGCGACACGATGTGGTGGGCGACCAGCTCCTTGAAGTCTTTGCGCGGCTTCTCCATGCCGAGCACAAGGACCAGGGCCTGTTGGGCCCAATAGGCGGCCTCGAACAAGTAGTAAAATTTGAAATAGGCGTCGTGAGAGCGGTGGGGGAAGTTCTCGTACATGCCGCGGGTATCAAAGTACCAGACCGGGGTGCGGCTCATGACATACATGCCGGCGGGCCCGAGGATGCCAAAGTAGATGGCCGTGTAGGCCTGCTCCATGAAGCGAGCCTGCTTGCCCCGTGAGCGGACGCCGGCGTAGCGGGCAAGGGGCCGCAGCAGCTCCTGCATGATGAACTCGCGGGTGAAGGACAGGACGATGGTGTAGAAGGCGACAAAGGCAATGTCCCAGCGGCCCTTGCCGTACTGGCGCGGGCCGGTGTGGCCGGGCTCGGGCTCGAGCGGGTACGAGAGGAAGATGAAGCGGTGGACCGGGTTGGCCTCGGTCGGGTTCGCGGCGTAGAGCGACAGGAAGCATGCTAGGAGGGCGAGCGGCAGCACCCACGTGTGCTTGATAGCGAACTGCTTAACCCTGCGGGCGTAGGAGCGGGCCTTACGTCGCCGGGAGCCGCGCTTGGAATCCTGGAAGGGGAGCGTTGGGTTTGGTCAGCTCGCTATGTCGCCACATGTGCACGAATCTTGTTTCCTTTGCTCTCCGACAACCCCCTCACCTTTCCGCCCTGGTGCAGGTGGGCAATGCTGGTGGCCAGGCCCGGGGCGCCCGTGTCGCCCACGCGCAGCTCCGAGCCCAGGCCGCTGGACTGTCTGCGTCGGCGGGCCGAGGCGGCGCCATGGTCGGCCGAGCCGTGGAGGTCGGCCGAGGCGCTGAGCAGGGGGAACGGCTCCGAGGTCGCCATGCCGGGCCCTTTTTTTTCTTTTTTTTTTGGCGCCCTGCAGTCGGAGTAGAATGAGGGACAGCGGCGATGTCGTCGTGGCTACAAGCCCAAGGTGGCCGGCGAGGTTGGTGCGGTGGCAGTGAGGTGAGGGAAGGGCTTTGAGGATGTCAAAGTCGGGGCAGAAGGAAATGACCAGACTAGATAAACACTGTAGGAGAGCGAATCAGGGGCCCTGCCAGTGTGCACGGCTCTGCACGCGCACGCGCCGCATTGTGCAATGTGTGTGCATGTGCTGGAGGGAAGGAGCGACGGCGGTCTGGCTCAACTCAAATGCCAAATTTGCGGTTGTCGCTCCATGTACCTGCATCAACCGCCAATGCCAGCCAGTCGCTGACAGCACCTCCAGCCAGGTGGGTCAATGTCCCAATCGGAGGGGGATTTGCAGGCTGTGATTTCCCCTCGAGGGAACAACCAACCAGCCATCTCGACTCTCGAAAATTTCTTCGGAGAATAATAGAAAGGGGCAGCGAGCTGCTTACAAATGAGTTCATATGGCGGCTAGCCCGCATGTGTGGAGATCAGTCGCGACAGAACACTTAGTCCATTGCTTTGCCGCATGAAGTAGATGGTAGTTGCACCGATTCAGCTCGATCTGGATAGGATGTAGCGGATGCGTTGTGCTAGGGTCTAGAGCCGCGTCTCGTTGACGTTATTTTTGCCCTTCATTCCAGGAAAAGCCAGAAAACCGAAAAAGAAAGCGATCCCGCGAGGCGAACGAGCCAGCAAAACATCACCTTTGTAGGCGGACCCCTGAGCTGACACAGTTCGAGTGGCACTGATTAAATATGAAGATCGGTAGATATGTAGACTCGCGTCCTTCCAAAAAAGAAAGCGCCATGAATTATCAGGTATCATGCAACATGTACACATCGTGGAATAATATGATATAAAGTATCCAGCAGCAACCGGAACTCCCTGAACAAGCCTTGGGCAAGCAAAACAAGCAAAAAGGAAGGCAAGAGCTTGCCTGACCGGAGAGTCGTTATGGTACTAGCGGCCCCTCATGTGATAAGCCTTGTCTCGAGCCCTCTCGAATCCTGGGCGCCGTTGGCCCAATTAAAGGCGCAGCCTCGCGAGGTTCGGGCCAACCGCCTTCCATTCTTGGTGACGAACTGGCCGAGCCGGTACTATTCCTGCGCCACGGCCTCGCTGGCGATCCTGGTGAGTCGGATCCGTCTTGGTCCATGCCTGGCTGAGGGCTTTGGGTTACCAGCGGTTGCGCCTGCTGCGACTCCTCTTCCTCAAGAAGCTGGGCTAGCGCAGCACCCCTTCGCGGCGGTGCTGGTATCACCGTGACCGGCAGGCTCTGTGTGTCCGGCGTCGGCCTGATCTTCTCACGTATCTTGTCCGCTTGGGTCGCCGCAAAGTCCTCCATGCGCGTGCGTAGGTCCCACCTATTGCCCCGCGCCCCGCGCTCGACCTGCGACTGGCGGAAACGAGATCCGTGGCTCGGTAGTGGGGTAGTGGCCGCTTCTGCGCCGGATACCGGCGTTTTGCGACGCACCAGAGGTATCCCTAGTGCCCGCCATTTGCTTGTTGTCCCGCTCTGCTCGCTATTACTGCTCCCACTACCGCCAAAACCGGCCGCCCCCGATGCCGTATTGGTTGGCGCATCTAGCACAGGTTCGCCCGTGCCAGCTTGAGAGTTGCCCATACTGGACATGTTGCCACTCCGTGTTCCGGGTCGTGATGATTGCGGGGTCTGTTGTGAGCGGGGCAGTTGAAGGGTCTGCGGCTGAGGAGGTGCTGCTGAGCGGAAACCCGAAGATTGTGCCAAGGGGTGGTGTGGGACACTTGGGTCAGGATACTGCTGCCGCTCTGCGGTCAGGTGATGAGGCGGCGGCGTCGGGTGCGCCGTTGTCCTCGTTGTCGTCTCGGTCAAAGGGTGGTAGCGAATGGCGTAGATAGTGCTGTCCGCGCTGGCCGTGTCAGTTCGGCTAACAGGCGTTGCCGCTGGGGGTGGCCGAGACGGCCACAACGGCGGTTGGAGGAACCTCGCCGACGGCCTGGTGTGGTTGGCCGCTAGGCGGCTGGGCCCGGCATCGGCCGTTGCGCTATCGTCCTTACTCGGCCGTGACCGATATCGTTGGGCAATCGATGAAACCGAAGGCCACACATTAGGCCGCCCACTGGTACTCGGCCCGTCGCGGGCCCGGGGGCGCGCGCGAGCTGCTGCTGCCACCCGCTTTCGAGGTCGTATACCACCTTCACCGCCGTCATCGCTACTGTCGCCGCTATCGTAGTCGGTGCCGCCCGGGGCCTTCTCACTCCAATTGCGACGCGGCCAGTTCGAGTCCGAGGGCGGTTCCAGCATCTCGTCGCCATCAAACACCTCGCGACCCAGAATCCCGTCCCTCTTCTCCTCTCTCTCAAGAGCCTCGATACGCTCAACCCATTCCCAGACGATGACACTGGCCGCAGCCGCTCCGACCCACCGGACGTAGTCGCCCCAGCCGGTGAACTCGGGCTTCGCGATGTCCAGAATGAAAAAGACGACGGGAACGAGAATTGCAAAGAGAGAAAGGATGGCGACGAGACAGATGTTCTTCATCTGCGGGTGGTAGTATGCATACTTCTTCTTCATTAGTGAGTAGTAAATGACCCAAGCTGCGTACAGCACACCCAGCGCAAGCTGGAACACGTAGCTGAGGGCGGGGATGGCATCTTTGAAGTTGCCAGGCCTCGAGTTATTGGGTCCGATGTAGTGGAAGCTGTTGAGCGAGTCGAATATCAGATCCAGCGTGATCAAGGCAAATGCTGTCCATTTGATGATGACCTTTTCTCGCTGCCGCGGGAACAGACGGATGAGCGTCTGGGCCTGTGCGAGCCATAGAAAGGTATCGGAGATGATGCGGATAATCTTGAGTTCTGTCCCATTCAGGATCTTGTCCTGCAGCTGCCTGGCGTCCTGGTAGCCCGACGCATACTGCTCTTCTGCCATTCTGTACGTGTTGGACGTTGCAATGGTGAGAGAGATGGCGACGGTAAGCGCGGCAACTTTCTGGAGCCAGGGTCGGCCACCGATGGTGCCAGACCCGGAGCCGCCGCTAGTAAAGCCGCGGCGGCCTAGGACCACGACACCACCGTCGAGAAAAGATCGAGGGGTGATTACTAGCATGATAACTAGGGTGTATGCGACGACGGTGGTGGCGGCGAGAGCATAGCATTGCGGGAATGTCGAGGCAAAAAAGGGGTCGCGCAAATCGACGACATGGGTACCGCCGATGCTCGTAGCGTCGTCGACGCCGACGCCGTTGCCAGCAATAATGGCGGGTTGGGTGTTTGGGGCGCACGCTGGTGTGTAGGAGGCAGGGCTCGAGAGAGTTATAACCTCGCCTCCAGACATGACCAGCACGCCGTTTGCAGGCAGCTTCACAGGTTGGCAAAGCCGGGACCTCGAGGTGCGTCCATCATCGCCACCGGTTGGGACAAGCTGTCGTGCCTCCATGGCTGGAGGGGAGGCGGCAGCAGCCGGCCGCTTGTAGGTTGACGCGGAGACTTGGCGGGTGTCGTGGGCTGGTTGGCAGGACGTGCCGGGCGTCTTTGCGCGGGATACACCCTTTTTTATCCGGCAATCGCCATGGATGGGAGATTGGCCGCAAGGTGGGCAACAGCGAGGGCTCAAGGTTGTGTACCGTCTTGGTTGGTCGCGCCTCGGTCGGCGGCGCCGGACTCGGCCTGCTGGCAGTTGCTGTCCGCCGCGTCGTCGTCGTCGTCGTCGTCGTCTGTCGTCGCTTGTCGTCGTCGTCGTCGGCGGCGGCGCTGCTGTCCTACCAGTCTCGTGGCAGCGGGTGCGAACGGCGCGTGAGCGACGTGCGGGCAGCCTGAAACAGCCCACGCCACAGACACGATAATAATCAATCGGGCGGAAATCGCGCAGTCGTGCTTCCTTCGTCGTCGTCAGTGCGCAATTTTGGCGGCGGCGTGCTGTCGACCGCGACCAGAACAATCTCGACACGGAAAATCGGCTCGTTGTTTTCGAGACGGGGTCGTTCGCTGCGTGAATCTGCCAAGTTTTGGGGCTGGGCGTCGAAGTGGGTGATGCAGATTGACAACGCTGTCGAGTCTCGGGCAATTCGCGGAAAGTGGTGCTGCCCGTGCTTGGTGGCTGTACCTACCACCGACCTGGCCGGGGACTGGTAAAAGTGTGGGTTGGCGAGGTGTGGGGTCCCGCTCGCTCCCGATTTCGATAGTCTTCTGACTTCCATGCGGCAACGCAAATTAACCTCCCTCATTTTAGCCTTGCCCTCCTTACAGAAATGTACCTCCTCTCATCCCCTCTGCGGTCTTTTGTTTTAGTACTCTTAAGATATTGCTCGCATTGATCCCCATGTCTTGGGGCTTGGACAATGGAGCGTTTCCCGGCCGAAAATTCCACCACGAGCACAAGGACGATATCTCGACGCCACGCGCAATTCCTGCCGACATGCCCATGCTTATCTAATCAGACCCCCTGCCAATAGGCCAGTTAGGTGGCTCGCTTGCGCCTGTGTCCCTGTCCGTCTCAGGAATGTTTTGGACATTCAGATGGCCTTTTTGTCTCTACAGTTTTGATTTTGGTCTTCTACCAACCATTAGGCACGGTATACCTTACACATTGCACTGACCGGTTGTAAGCTTCCCGGAACGTTTAGAGTGCGCTGCAGTATCTACGCATCTTCCTGTCCGCTGCCAATCCTATGTAAACATGGAGGACTTGAGAACCGACCATTGCTGATTTATTTCTCAAATATATGAATGTATCCTGGTCATGAGTCTCGGCCATGACACCAAGAATCCCCAGACCGTACATGAGTCTCGTATCATTCAGATCATAGCCACCATAACACTCGACATAATCAGACTGTCTTCAAACCCGAAGCCGACACAAGCGATCTGTTTCTTGACCGTTCCCCTATCGTTATCTCCCCTGCGGTGATAATCTGGTCGGGATGGTGTGAGAAATAAGATTCAAAAACAATGAATGACACAAGAACATAGGGTGGATAACTTGGTGCAAACCCAAATCGAAAGGAATAAAAAGGTGCATCACGCTAGGAGAGGGAAACAGCTGTCCAAGCAAGGAGTAAGAAGGATCACAAACCTCGTTAC